GCATGGGCAGAGGGAGCCCATGAGATCTGCTCATCGTGTGTGCGTGTGTGTGTGTGTGTGTGTGTGTGAGAGAGAGAGAGAGAGAGAGCGGGAGTGCACACCCAGGGCCTTGCACATGCTGAGTGCACTAAGCCATGAGCTCTGCCCAAGCCCTTGCTGGCTACTTCTGAGCACTGTATCCCATCCGGGAGCTGGTGGCCTCCCGGGTACAGAGGCCCAGAGCAGTGCGGAGCAGGGGGGGGGGCATGCTCACTCACCACTCAGAAAACACCAGCAAGGGCCTGCTTGGCTCTGACAGCCTGGGTGTCTCCGCCCAGCCGCCCCAGGCTAAGAAGAGCTGTAGGAAGAGTCTGGAAGGGTTTGGAGCAGTGCGGGGGATGGCTATGCGGGGTTGACAGGATACTCCTCCTTCCCAGCGTTTCTACTGGGTACTATACGGGGGAGTGTGCTTTGAGGGAAGATGGCTAGAGAGGAGGGGGAGGGAGGGATGAAGGGAGGGGTGAATGAGTCAATGACCAAGCCAGGGGCCAGTGGGAGGTAAATGGAGGAGGGAGCCAGCAAGTGCAGCCCCTCCTCTGTAACTCCAGAACTTTCCATTAGATAGATGAAGATAGGAAAGGTTTGTGGTTGGAGGGGACAGAAACACACAACCATCACTTACACAAGAGAAATGTGTCCAGGAGTCTGGCCAGGTGGGGGCGCCACCTCCCCAGCAGGCCCATGCCTCAGGGGCCAGGCCCTCCACAGCGCTGCCTGGGCAGGGCCCGGCTTCCCTCCCAGACCCCTTCCAGGCACTCCCTCACCCCACCTAGCAGGGGGCTGGCCGTGGGGGACTTCCCACAGAGGCTGTCCAGGCCAGAACAGTCCAGTAAGTTGCCTTTCCCACAGTGCTGGACAGGTGTGGACCTGAGGCCCCTGCAGGAGAGGAGCCAATGCTGACCCAAGGGCCCCCCACCCCGGCCCCAGGGGGCTCAAGGAGCAGGATGGAGGCCCGTGGAGTGATGGGCGGTGGGTGTGCTCCAGAGGCCAGGCCTGGCCACCCTGGCCCCTGCCTGGCCCTGCCTGGCCTCCTTGTGCTGTGGCCCAGCTCTCCGCGAGACCAAGAGCTCACTCCACCCCCACGGCCTCACTTCCTGAAAGGCATGTACACGCACGCCCACACGCATGCACAGGAAACTGCTCACCTGCGAAGCGGAAATTGCTCTGTCCTTCTAGGGAGTGAAGCTGAGCCCCACATGTAGCTTTGTGGTTTTATTCTAAGTGGCTCTCTCGCTTCACCTCTCGCAGTGGAGACGCAGCCAGCTTGCAGACACCAAGGCGGCTCCCGCACACGTCCACAGGCGTGTCGCCAGCACCTGCAGACGGTGGCACTCCCTCTGGGGCCTCGGCATCTCCTGCCCTTGGGCTCCAGCCTGTGTCCTGTGTGAGGTGTCTGAGCAGCGCAGGGGAGCGGGTGGCCAGCCCGACAGTGACCCCCAAGGCTGGTGCCCTTGGCCTTGTTTTCTAGCTGGGGAAAGGAAGACATGGGCGTGGCCTGGCCTCCGTGTTGGTGACTTCCTGCCGGGGAGCAGACTGCAGGGCCTGAGCCCCACAGCTCCCCCAGGGCACCGGGCAGCCGGAGCTCCCGCCCCCTTGAAGCTCCTGGGCTGTGCCACCGTCCGGACCCAGACGCTGGGTGGTTGTGGTGTGGCTACATCAACTCTGAGGCAGAAGTATGGAGCACCTCAGGACCTCTGACTCGTGGGGAGGCACTCGGAGAAGCACAGGAAGCCAAGTCTTCACTGCTCTGCCAAACCTGCCATTGGCGACGGCCCAGGGCACCTGGCCAGGACAGGCCCAGACAGAGCCCAGCTGCCACCGCGTGCACCGGCGCACACGCGCTCTGTCTCACACACACACACCCCTGCGCACACGCGCTGTCACACACCTGCGCACACGCACTCTGTCACACACACACACCCCTGCGCACACGCGCTCTGTCTCTCACACACACCCCTGCGCACACACGCTGTCACACACACCCCTGCACACACGCGCTCTGTCTCACACACACACACCTGCGCACACGCGCTGTCTCTCACACACACACCCCTGCGCACACGCGCTCTGTCTCTCACACACATACACCTGCACACACGCGCTCTGTCTCTCACACACACCTGCACACACACGCTCTGTCTCACACACACCCCTGCGCACACGCGCTCTGTCTCTCACACACCCCTGCGCACACGCACTGTCTCACACACACACCTGCGCACACGCGCTCTGTCTCACACACACCCCTGCGCACACGCGCTCTGTCTCTCACACACACCCCTGCGCACACGCGCTCTGTCTCACACACACACCCCTGCGCACACGCACTCTGTCTCACACACACACACACACCCCTGCGGGCCCCGTGTGCGCGCTCTCTGTCTCTTCTGTCTCTCTCTCTCTTTCACACATACACACACACACCCCTGTGGGCCGCGTGCGTTCTCTCTGTCTCTGTCTCTCTCCCTCTCTCTCTGTCTCTCTCCCTCTCTCTCTGTCTCTCTCCCTCTCTGTCTCTCTTTCTCTGTCTCTGTCTCTCTCTCTCTCTCACACACACACACACACACCTGCAGGCCACGTCCTCTCTGTCTCTCTCTCTCTCTCTCTGTGTCTCTGTCACACACACACACACACCTGCGGGCCACGTGTGCACTCTCTCTCTCTCTGTGTCTCTGTCTCTCTTTCTCTGTCTCTCTCTCACACACACCCCTGCAGGCCACGTCCTCTCTCTCTCTCTGTCTCTCTCTGTCTCACACACACACATACCCCTGCAGGCCACGTCCTCTCTCTCTCTCTCTCTCTCTGTCTCTCTCTCTCTCTGTGTCTCTCTCACACACACACACACACACCCCTGCGGGCCACGTCCTCTCTCTCTCTCTCTGTCTCTCTCTCTCTCTCACACACACACACCCCTGCAGGCCACGTCCTCTCTCTCTCTCTCACACACACACACACCCCTGCAGGCCATGCCCTCTCTCTCTCTCTCTCACACACACACACCCCTGCAGGCCATGCCTTCTCCCCCTCTCTCTGTCTCTCTCTCTGTCTCACACACACACACCCCTGCAGGCCACGCCCTCTCTCTCTCTCTCTCTCTCTGTGTCTCTCTCTCTCACACACACACACACCCCTGCGGGCTGTGTGCGTTCTCTCTCTCTGTCTCTCTGTCTCTCTCTCTCTCTCTCACACACACACACACACACCCATGCAGGCCATGTCTTCTCTCTCTCTCTCTGTCTCTCTCTCTGTGTGTCTCTCTCTCTGTCACACACACACACCCCTGCGGGCCGTGTGCATTCTCTCTCTCTGTCTCTCTGTCTCTGTCTCTGTCTCTCTCTCTCTCTGTCACACACACACACCCCTGCGGGCCGTGTGCATTCTCTCTCTCTCTGTCTCTCTGTCTCTGTCTCTCTCTCTCTCTCTCTCTCACACACACACACCCCTGCGGGCCGTGTGCATTCTCTCTCTCTCTCTCTCTCTGTCTCTGTCTCTCTCTCTCTCTCTCACACACACACACACCCCTGAGGGCCATGTGCATTCTCTCTCTGTCTCTCTGTCTCTCTCTCTCTCACACACACACACACCCCTGAGGGCCATGTGCGTTCCCTCTCTGTCTCTCTCTCTCTCTCTGTCTCTCTCTCTCTGTCTCACACACACACACACACACCCCTGCGGGCCACGTGCACTCTCTGGGCTGCTCACCCCGGGTGCGGGTGAGCTATCCCTTGCCCTGTGGGTGGGCTTGGTGTCTGGGGACCCAGTGGCAGGCATGTGTCTGAGGGGCGTCCACCGCAGGGACTGTGCCGGGGGCTCTCTGCCACTCCCCGCTGCGGTAAGGTGTCTCAGCAGGACTCCTCGGCCAGCCTCTCTGGGGAGCAGGATGAGTCCCTGGGGGCTGCCTGTGGCCGCGCTGGGTGGGCGGGCCAAGGGACGGCGCGGGCCTGGGCCGGTGTCGTGGGTGAGCTTGGCGTCTGGGGCAGCCTGGTGGTGCCTGTCCCTGTGGACCACTTCTTCCACCCCCGGCAGAGCCTAGACACTTCTTGCTTGGAATGGTCTGTGGCCAGTACATAGATCACGGGGTCAGCCACGCTGTTGACAGTTGACAGGCACAGGAACACCATGGTGACGGTGTACAGGCTGCCCTCCAGGGCACACAAGGCGTCTCTGTCTCCTCTGTGGAAGGAGAAGGCGGCAGCCCTGACAAGGAGCACCATGTGGTAGGGGGAGAAGCAGACCAGGAAGATGGCCACCACGGAGATGGCCAAGTGCTTCACTTTGGCTTTCTGGGCGGCGCTCAGGCCCTCGCTCAACTGGACGCTCCTGAAGATGCGGTGATTGGTGAAGGTGATGATGCCAAATGGAAGAGCAAACCCGACGGTAAAGCGTGCGTAGTGGAAGGCCGCGATCCTCCCGTTCATCTGCGGGGGCTCAAAGCAGGAGTCCCTCACGAGCTCCATCTGAAACACCGGGGAATGGACAAGCCCGACGAGGAGGAAGATGGACCCGCAGATGAAGGCGGCCGTCCTCTGGTGGCGGTGGCCTCTGCTCTCCAGGGCGTACACCACTGCGGCGAAGCGGTCGCAGGAGACGCAGCAGAGCAGGAGGATGCTGGTGTAGATGTTGCAGAAGAAGATGTAGGCAACCACCTTGCAGGCCCACGGGCCCAGGGTCCAGCGGTGCTGGTTGTGGATGTAGATGACCCAGAACGGCAGGGTGCTGATGTAGAACAGCTCGCAGAGCGCCAGGCAGAACAGGTAGACGGACAGCACACTGCCCTGCAGCACCTGTAGCAGGGTCAGCCAGCCGGTCAGGCAGTTGGCCGGCAGGCCCAGGGCACACACCACGCTGTAGGCCACCACCAGGAGCATCCTGGTGTCCTCAAAGGGCATGGGACACATCTCCACGGAGTGGTCCCCAGGCCCCCGAGAGGCAGGGCTGGTCACTAGGGTGGAATTTCCTGCAGGACATAGATGGAGGTGAAGATCAGGGATCTTGAAAACCCCCAGGAAAGACCAGTGGTAGTGAGAAAGAGACCGACGGGAAGCCAGAATGCATATACCAACTGTTGAAAAGTCTCCAGGTGGGCGGGGCACCATGACTCCTGCCTAGAATCCTAGCCCTCCAAGAAGCAGATTGGAGGACCACAGCTCCAGCTCAGCCGGGTATTGAAGTGCTCAAGACTCCACTTAGGCAGTGGAGCCACACCCCCGTAGGATGGTCCCGAGCCCCACTGACCCCAGACAAGAAGCGAGACCCCGTCTCAAAAACAGCCGGAGCAAAAAGTGCCCATGGCAAGGCTTTAGCCGTAGAGCGTGCACCTGTCTGGCAAGCACCAAGCCCTGAGTTCAAAGCCCAGTACTGAAAAAATATTCTAGATGAGTTTGCAGTGATCCTTAGATTCTGCCTGTCCAACACAGGCTCCGTGAACAAGAACCCGGGCTGGGCGACTCTGGAAGACTTTGCAGCTCACTGAGGTCAGGTGTCAGGAACATTGCTTGTGGGTTTTCTTTTGTTGTTGTTATCGTTGTTTGTCAGTCATGGGGCTTGAACTCTGGGCCTGAGTGCTGTCCTTCAGCTCTTCAGCTCAAGACTAGCACTCTACCTCTTGAGCCACAGCGCCACTTCCAGTTTTCTGGTGGTTTATTGGAGATAAGAGTCTCACAGCTTTTCCTGCCCAGGCTGGCTTTGAACTGTGATCCTCAGATCTCAGCCTCCTGAGTAGCTAGGATGACAGGCGTGAGTCACCGGCACCCATCTTATTGCTTGTGTTTTTAACAAGAATGTTCACTTTCTAATGGCTGAGCAAGTGCCCAACTAAGCACATTCTCAACAGCATCCAGAGTGAGGGGTCGCTGCTGCGCTCTTCCGGCATCTTCCTTGCTTCCGCCGCTCCCTTGGTCCCTGCCTCCACTCCCCACCACAGGCCTATCCCGTCCTAATGTATACATTCACTCCTTCTTTGCCTGCTTGAACTAGCAGTTGCTGAATTGATGGTGCCTGTTGTGATGGTGGGTTTGCTTTGTGTATTTGATGCTATTGTTAACTGGAGCATCAGAATTAGAAGGTAGCTGCTATTCTAGTGAACTGGCCATCTCACCGTTATACCATGATACGAAGAATAATGACCTCCATGCAAAGATATCTAAACCCTAATCTTGGGAACTCCCGGATGAGAGAGGTAACCTAGCAAAGAGGAAACAAAGGCTGCCGACAGAATCAGGACAATTAGCTGAGCGTGGTGAGGGGGCTCGGCCTGAACTATCAAATGGGCCCAGGATATCTCACAAGGGTGTTTAAAGTGAAGTAGTGTTGGAAGCGAAAGTATTTAGTAGATGGCCAAAGGACCACAGCCAAAGAACACAGGGCCTCTCAAGCCTGGGTAGGCAGGAAGGGATCTGGCCCTCGGACCTCCAGGAAAACACAGGGCCTTAAAAGCTGGAGAGGGAGGAAGGAATCTGCCCTTAGGACATTCAGGAGAATTTTCTTGGCATCCTCTCTGACTCCAGCATTAACTTATACCAGAAAGAAGCCTCAGGCAGGGTACCGCCTCCAGCTCCCACCTCACTACAACAGCCAGGAGGCTGCTATAGGTGGGAACTCAGGCATGAAAGAAACAGAGAAAAGACACACCTCGAGAAGGGTATACTGGACACACCCAGGACAGCACCCCCCCCGTCCTTGCTGGCCTGGGACAGGAGCCAGGGTGGCCAGGGGGCTCAGAACTGGTGCCTGGTCCTTACTGGTCAGATACACTCTGGATCTCAGACGTCCAGAAATAGGGATGACCCCTTCGCGTTCCCAGCTCTGAGTTTCTATGGGAGTGGGACAAACCCAGCATTTGTCGTCCTTTCTCAGGACAAGCGGTTGGAACTCAGGGCCTCGTGCTCCCTTGGCTGGCGTGATCGGCATTTGTCTTGTTGCACCACATTTATTTCCCTTAGCACAGAATCCCCAAGGTGCATCCATGGCACAGCCATGTTAGACCTCCTCCTTTAATGGCAGAGCAGTATTTCCCTAACACCCCATTTCAGGGCCATCGATCCCCTCTTCTTGATGCAGCCACAGTCCCTAGGCACTGTCTGCCCTCTTTGGGCCATTGTGAGTTGTACTGCTATGAGCTCATAACCTGGCTCTGTACACACGGAGTAGCTGTGCAGAAGGGGGATTACTAGATCACATGGCAGTTCTGTGCTTATCTCTTTAAGACACCTGCTTTCCACAACAGATCTCTCTATATTTCCACCAATGGTACAATAAGGGCTCTGAAGGTACACAAGGGTGCCAATGGTACACAAGGTATACTATGGTATAGAGGGGCTCCAATGGTACACAAGGACTCCAATAATACAGTAGGACTCCAATGATACACTAGGACTCCAAGGATACACTAGGATTCCAATGGTACAGTAAAACTCCAATGATACACTAGGACTCCAATGATACAGTAGGACTCCAATGATACAGTAGGACTCCAATGGTACAGTAGGATTCCAATGGTACGCTAGGACTCCAATGATACACTAGGACTCCAATGATACACTAGGACTCCAAAAATACACTAGGACTCCAATGGTACAGTAGGATTCCAATGATACACTAGGACTCCAATGGTACAGTAGGACTCCAATGATACACTAGGACTCCAATGGTACACTAGGACTCCAATGGTACACTAGGACTCCAATGATACACTAGGACCCCAATGATAAACTAGGACTCCAATTGTACACTAATACTCCAATGGTACACTAGGACTCCAATGGTACACTAAGACTCCAATGGTACACTAGGACTCCAATGATACACTATTACTCCAATGGTACAGTAGGATTCTAATGATACAGTAGGACTCCAATGATACACTACAACTCCAATGGTACAGTAGGACTCCAATGGTACACTAGGACACCAATGATACACTAGGACTCCAATGGTACACTAGGACTCCAGGGATACTAGGACTCCAATGGTACACTAGGACTCCAATGATACACTACGACTCCAATGATACACTACGACTTCAATGGTACACTAGGACTCCAATGGTACACTAGGACCCCAATGATACAATAGGACTCCAATGATACACTAGGACTCCAATGGTACAGTAGGACTCAAATGATATAGTAGGACACCAATGGTACACTAGGACTCCAATGGTACACTAGGACTCCAATGGTATACTAGGACTCCAATGATACACTAGGACTCCAATGGTACAGTAGGACTCCAATGATACACTAGGACTCCAATGATACACTAGGACTCCAATGCTACAGTAGGACTCCAATGGTACAGTAGGACTCCAATGGTACACTAGGACTCCAATGGTACACTAGGACACCAATGATACACTAGGACCACAATGATACACTAGGACTCCAATGGTACAGTAGGACTCCAATGATACACTAAGACTCCAATGATACACTAGGACTCCAATTGTACACTAGGACTCCAATGGTACACTAGGACTCCAATGATACAGTAGGAGTCCAATGGTACACTAGGACTCCAATGGTACACTAGGACTCCAATGATACACTAGGACTCCAATGGTACACTAGGACTCCAATGGTACAGTAGGACTCCAATGGTATACTAGGACTCCAATGGTACAAGTAGGACTCCAATGGTATACTAGGACTCCAATGGTACAATAGGACTCTAATGGTACAATAGGACTCCAATGATACACTAGGACTCCAATGATACACTAGGACCCCAATGATACACTAGGACTCCAATGGTACACTAGGACCCAAATGATACACTAGGACTCCAATGGTACACTAGGACTCCAATGGTATACTAGGACTCCAATGGTACAATAGGACTCCAATGATACACTAGGACTCCAATGATAAACTAGGACCCCAATGATACCCTAGGACTCCAATGATACACTAGGACTCCAATGGTACAATAGGACTCCAATGATATACTAGGACTCCAATGATACACTAGGACCCCAATGATAAA